TCTCCTGTCTGAAGTAGAACATAGCTCAACACAATCTGAATCTTTAACAGAACCTAAAATATCTACAACCTCTTTACTGGAAGACATTGACATGCCGGCGAATGCCGGCGAATGCCGATGACGATTCAGCTAAGACCCTTGAATTTGCAGAAAGGGCATATAAGAAAATGTTAGTAATAAAATAAAACAGAGAAACGGAGAGAAAAAACTTTTACGTGAGTCCTTTGAAAATAAAACCCAAGACTTATCAGGGAACAATCAAATTCATACGATTTTAGTAGAGCCAGATTTTCTGAAAACTGAAATATCTGAATTGCAACAAGACAATAGCACAAAAAATAAAAACGGAAATCCAAGCTGTAGTCAAAATATTATGACTGAATATCAACTGTGCGACCCCAAAACTCACTCTCATATAAATAAGAATTCATATGATTTTATATCTCTCGCCAATATAACTACAAACGATTCAATTCAAAAAGATAGCTGAATTGAGATGCAAAAATTTATACAAGAGTTGAGTTTGGAATTTGACTTGGAATCAATCAAAGTTACTAACAGAAATAAAGAGCAGGGTATACTTGATAACACTGAAAATGAAGCTATTGAACTGGCCCGTATGTATCAAAATGCAAGGAAAGCTAAAAAGAATACAGTATACCTCGATATAACGAACCTCGATATAACGATAACGAAGATTATTTCTAATTTTTGTATTTAAATTAGCCCCGATATAATGAAACTACTAGTAAAGATTTGATATAACGAAGAAAATCTCCAGCTCCAGAGCTTCGTTATATCAAGGTTATACTGTACTATCCACGCTAAGCAAGAAGAAATTTTAAGTTGGTATCATTATGCAAAAAGCTTTGAAAAAAGAGTTTATGATGTCTTATCTAATTGCAAAAATACTAAAAGAGCAGATGACTTAGCAAGAATTCAGATTTATGATGAAATCCAGAATTGTCTTTCCGGCGTCTCACTTGAAAATTTCCGCAAACAAACTCAAAGAGCTTGTAAAATTTATAAGTTGTTTAACGGTATAGGAATAGAAAAGGTCAAACGAGTTAAATCTTATAGCGCAAATGGGATATCAAAACTCACTAACCCTCAAATTCAATATATTATAGATTATTTTAATGGATGTGAACCCTGTGTCCCCGGGACGCACGGTCATATGACTGAAATTTCTAAAACTAATGATAAAATCTTGTCTGAAGAAAACACATCAAAAACTGAGATAAGCGTATCAACTGCACCTATCTCATTGTCTCATACCTCTAATTTAGAAGACAAATCTTTACTGGAGACTAAGATAAGTGCATCGTCTAATCCAACTCATGACCGTACTTATTTTCGTAATAAAACACTAGAACAGTATCCTAATTTATATAAAGATGGTAATAGTGAAAATATAGATTATTACAGAATTACTGATGAGACACTATGTCCTTTATGCAAATTAGATCATGATGACAATGAAGATATAGAAGGTAAATATGAAATTGGTTCCTATTATATTAAATGTGAACAGTGTGGAGTTGAAATTGAGGTAATGGCATGAAATTTGTCTTATATTAACACAATTCGCTTAAGTCTTTAAAGTGTCTCTCTGAGGTATATTTATTTTTTTTATTAAATATTGTTAATTAAAGAGACGCGCAATTACATAAATAACACATAAATACACAGACAAAGTCCAATAAAACATTAACTCCCAAATATTTGGAATAGAATAATAAATTTACTGGATTACCAAGTGTTTTAACCGACAAAATTCATTCTAAGTTATATAAGAGATACAAGAAAGAAACTAGTCTCGATCCTTGGATAGATTTCAAACCCTCTGAATCTTTTGAGAAGAAAACTTTATTTGTACCACGAGTAAATATTCAATCTATGCTATCAAAATCTCGATCACCAATTTCTGTTCTACCTAAAGACCCAGAAGAAAGGCAACAACATGTTATTGAAATGGTATTAGAACGATTTCCTTA